GCTAGCATGACTATATGTGAAATGCATGAAATGCTGTTAAATTCCCAATGAAGTGGTACCTATTTATCTACTTGCATTTGCATGCTTTAGAATTCTTAAGTTGGCAGGAGATAGAGCAAGAATGGGTGCTCAGCCCGTCACACAGTACTTAGGTCTAAAACTGCTGACCTTCCAGTCAACAAGCCCAATGTCTTAACCACTAGGCCTATGCATTCTGACCTGCTATAATGGTAATCTTTTTTATTATTTAGTGGTGGATCTTTGCAAATATTAACAACTCTGCATATTGTTCCAAAATTATGGAATGGTCTTACACTTTCCAAACATTTTCAATAGAACAGATCTGATTTCTTTGTTTTTCAGGCTATATATAATTGGGTTTAACATTGGAGTTAAAATCCTATACTGAATAGATATCACTTTGTCCAGATCCATGAGTGATTCTGAATTTGGCTTCATATAGCGAATCAAACCTGAAATGTAAAATAAGCCCAGAACGATGAGATGGGAGCTACATGTGGAAAAAGCTTTCTGCCTGCCTGCTGATGATTTAATTTTCAGGATGGTTAAAATAATATAAATATAAGAGACAAGGGTTATAAGAAATGAACTGAAACCAAACAACAACACAGAGATGAAAAGAACAATGTAATTAGAAAAGGTGTGTGCACATGACAAGGCCAAAAGTGTAGGAAGTTCACAAGTATAGTGTCTGATTATATTGTTGCCACAAAAATGAAGATTTTGCAAAGGTACTACATTCACCATAGAATAAAAGAAACCCAGGAGCCAAGCTCCACCCACAATTTTATTACATATCTCTCTTGTCAAGTATCTGTTGTAATGCAGGGGGTCACATATAGCCACATATCGGTCATAACCCATTGCTGAGAAGATACAAACTTCTGTACAGGCAATTTGGAAAAAGAAAGAAATTTGTGCAATGCATCCTTCCCAGGAAATTGTTTTCTGCTTCATTAGGGAGTTTACCAGCATCTTGGGAACAGTGACTGAAGAGTAGCAGATGTCAACAAAAGCTAAATGGCTGATAAAGAAGAACATGGGGCTCTGAAGGTGAAGATCAGATTTGATCACCAATATAATAACCATATTACCCAAAATTGTGAATAAATAAATGATCATGAACAAGAGAAGAAGAAAATCCTGTACCAGTGGATCATTAGAAAGACCCAACAGAATAAAATCTGTTATCATAGTTTGATTTCCTAGATGAGATGATTTAAGAATCATAGGATCTATCAGAAAAGAAAAGAAAAACTATCAATCTTCAAACTAATGTTGAAAACTACATGGGAACTCATTATTGCTGAGTTTCTACTTTCATTTCTTTCATCAAAGGGCAAATTTAAAAGTTGCTTTTTCAATTTCATGATGTGCTTAGACATTTTCATGACATTTTAATTCATTAACTATTTCAGAATATGTTTTTAATTGTAGTTTGACATCAATCTGTGCATTTATGAAACGAGACATACTCCAAGTTTACTGCATAAAAATTAAAGTTTATTGTACATGAACAAAGCATTTCATTTGAATTAAAGACCTCTTTATCTGACAGAACGGCATTGTCTAAAAAATAGTCTTAAGGAAAAGACTGACACAAATAACTACATATTTCTACATGTTTATAATGCACAGATTTCTAGACCTTCAAACATGAAATGTTAAACTGTTGCCCTAGCAATTCTTTGGCAGAACTGTCTCCCTTCCCTTCTCTTCCCTTCCTTCTAACAATTGGTAATGATTAATCATGCTGATATTTTTTTTTTATCTTAATCAAATGTTGCCAAATGAAGATGTCTGCTGTGAAAAATTGGAAAAAAGCAAGTTTGAAGATTTTGCAAAATATCAAAATAGATGTTATATATACATTATTGTTGTTTCTTCCAAAAGGAGAAGAATGTATCAATTTTGATAAGATTATACCTTTCTTCATTAAGCACCCTATTTTCACTCTGAAAATTTTCTCATACAAAATTTATTGACATGTAAGTCAAGCAAAAAATGTACTGAACCTTACAGAATTAGCCCTGCTAATCCCGTGAAACCTAACTATTGCAATTCAAATTAGATTTGATTAAAAGAGTCTTTTAATTTCAATTTCCATTTGTTTTCCAATCATCTTATTAATTAATTTTGCTGAGTGTTGCACTGAAGTGTGAAAAAGACCCAACCTGTATTAGAGAAATGGTTCCTAAAACCACTTTCTTTCCTTTAAATCCCAGGATCTACATCAGACATGCATTTACCTGTAGGAAGTAGTTCTGTTACAGTGGAGAAACAGTCTGTATCTCTGCTTCCTTGCCTAAATAACCAGGTGCTCTTTTCTTGGAATAATATAATAAAAAAGGCATGAGTCCATACCAATATTCCTTAAAGAATTCAGGGCATGTGAAATCAATTGGGAATATATTGTTCACAAATTAAAATAGATGAAGGGTAGACATGTTAAAGATATTTCGCTTTGTTTTTCCTATCTTTATTATCATTTAAAGGAACAGTTTACACACACACACACACACACACACACATACACAAACATATTTGCTGAGGGATGAGTCCAGGCAATCACCAGGTGATAGTATTGATTTGCAGCCACATATCAAAGAATCCAACCTACTTGAATTCTACTTTTAATATCATCCTAACTACAGCTTTCTTGTCAAGTATTATGGAATCTCAAGGTTCTTCATGAATATCAAGGGTTGTACAAATAGAATTGTTCAGGTTAAATATGCACTTTTAAGGGAGGAACAAATAAGGTTATCCAACCAAGAGTGAAGAATTGGATTAAAATAAGCAATAGCCCTCACTGAAACAGGGGGAACTCTGTTGGGCCAGGCTGCTATTTCTGCAGACTTTTTGGTGAAATTGTGGCTTAGTTTCAGGTCCAGTAGGTATATAATGGTATGCTATCCTAAAATATAAAATACAAGGAATAAAACTATAGCACCTATAATTTATCATGAAGGTTTAATAAAGGCACTATGGATAGTAGACTTTAATATCTTGCATAAGCTCAACGAGTTGTGGAGAAGGGGAGAAGGAAGGAGATCAGTGAAATGGTGAAAGAAGAATCAAGGGGGTCATGACATAAGCTGCAACCTTCTGTACTTGTGTTGATGCATACAAATACGAAAAAGACAAAGCTTGGAGTCTTACCCTGCTCCATCAATATGTTGAAAATAGAAGGCTGCTGAAGATGCTGCTGAGAAAAGCCACAATCTTACTCTCCATGTGCTGAAACATATGGACTAGCACAGATAAGGATATTTGAATATAAGATTGTGGGTCTTAGTTATCCAGAAGACATACTGTATAACATCTAGTAAAACCACTCAGGGCATCCAGAAATATTGCTAATCAACAGCAATGTCAGAATTATTATTATAAAAGATAAAGCCCCAATGTGTATCAGTTGTTTAAGAGCAAAATTTAACATTGTTATAGGAAAATGTATTATTAATTTACTTTGAGTTTAATGTTTTAACGTTTTAATATTTTTATATTTATTATGTTTTGTTTTCTCACTTCTTCCCTTCCCCCTTCCTTCCAGTCAGTGTTGATACATGACAATTGCCTGGACATGTCCCTGCAGTTTTCTTAGCAACATTTCAGAAGTGGCTTAATCTTGCCTTCTTCCAGGCCTCGGAAGGAGTAGCCCAAGCTAACCTTACTGCTTCAAATTTCTAATTATAATTTATTATTTATTAAACAAATGTATATGGCCACCCAACTCATACATAGATGATTCTGCATAACAGTACAAACCACAACATAAAAAACATAATCCCCCCCCCCCCCATGTACCTGGAAGCAGACTGGCAGCCAGTGCAGCTCCCACTTTAGGCTTGTGCAAAATTGTGTGGGACATTGCATTCTGCATATTACATATAATTTATTGACTACTCCATTTGTTTTAGTGTTTAAGCTCAATTCTTATACACTTACATTTAGAAAAGTATCTTTGAAAAAAATGATTACATGCTTTAATATAATATATATTTCAGGATACATTCTTTGAGAAATAAATTTAAAACATTATATTTCAATGTCTGTGCAAACTTTCTTACCATCTTGTATTAAAATAAATTTTGAAATTAGATGAATCATATATGTTTGAGTGTGCAGATGCACAAAAAGAATCAGAGAAAGGTATGAATCAAGGAGAACCGCTCGGACCTTAAGCTAACGATAGGATTGAAACATACATATAATTGTACATATAATTGTATATATAATTGTATTGTGTAGAAGAATGAGGTTTATATAGAGGTTAAGGATGATGTATTAAGTTTTTGTATCACGAGAAACAAATTGTTAGGAATATTTACTCTGGAATGCCACGTATGTCCATTTTTATTTTAATTGTATTATAAATAAAAAACTTTAAAAAAAAAAGAATCAGAGAAAGATTATATTGTGTTGAATTTAATGTATAATAAATATATATCAACTGTCAAGATAGCAATAGCAACTGAAAAATAGCTTTGTGATAAATACATGTAACATATTTGCTAAGACTGTTTTCAGTGACAACCATAGGGAGATATAAAACCAATGTTATTTTCTAAACAAAATACATTATAATATTCTTAAATTCTGATATTAAATAATAGATTCCAATTTCCCAAACATATGTGCTGATTGCATCATGATGTAGAACACTTTGCATATTCTGTTTGTTTAACCTTACAGCTATTATATAACCACATAAAATAGGTTTAGAAATGCATATTGTTTAGGAACATTCATGTGCACTGCATAATTCAAGGAAAAATAGAGAAAAGCAATGCATTCTAGGGAGGAATATATATTTTATGGACATATATACGTATATAATCTCATATCTCATATCCGCTCCCAATGCAAAGAATATGTGAAAAGTAGCAACCCTCTCTTCCGCTGCATTATTAATTATTTTTATCTCTAATTTTTGAATTTGTAGACATATTAAATGAGGGGTTGCGAGTATTGTTTCATGACAAAAAAAAGACCTTACACTTTCCAAAGAGTTTTTCCACACCAGATAGGATCTGTTTGTTTTTCAAACTATAGATAATTGGGTTTAACATAGGAGTTAAAATGCTATACTGAATGGAGATTACTTTGTCCAAATCCATTAGTGATTCTGAACTTGGCCTCGTGTAGTGAACAAATGCTGTAATGTAAAATAGGCCCACAACAATAAGATGGGAGCTGCATGTGGAAAAAGCTTTTTGCCTGCTTGCTGATGATTTTATTTTGAGAATGGATGAAATAATATTAATGTAAGAGACCAGGGTGAAAAGAAATGAGCTGAACCCAAATGCCAACACAAATATTAGAAGAACAATATAATTAGTCAGAGTCTCTGCACAAGACAAAGGCAAGAGTGAAGGAAGGTCACAATTATAGTGTCTGATGATATTGTTGCTACAAAAATGGAGATCTAGCAAAGGCAGGACATTCCCTATGGCACCCAAGAGACCCAGGAACCATGCTCCACCCATCATTTTATTGCACTTCTCTTTTGTCAAGTATCTGTTGTAATGAAGTGGATTACATATGGCCACATAACGATCATAACCCATTGCTGAGAGGATGAATACTTCTGTGCAAGAGGTTTGTAGAAAAAAGAAAATCTGTGCAATGCATCCTTCCCAGGAAATACTTTTCTGCTTTGTAATAAAGTTTGACAGCATCTTGGGAACAGTGACTGAGGAATAGCAGATGTCAACAAAAGCTAAATGGCTGAGAAAGAAGAACATGGGGGTCTGAAGATGAAACTCAGACTTGATCACCAATATAATTACCATATTCCCCAAGATGGTGACTAAAAATATGATCATGAAGAAGAAAAGAAGAAAATCTTGTATTTTTGGATCATTGGAGAGTCCCAAAAGAATAAATTCTGTTATTATAGTCTGATTTTCCCACTCAAATGTCTGAGGGATCATAAGATCTGTCAGAATAGGAAACAAAATTAATGAAACTTCAAATTAAAGTTGAAAGTTACACGTGAATGTGTTATGTTGAGTGTGCTACATTTTATTTCATTTCTTTCATCAAAGTTAAAATGTAAGGGTTGGTTTTCATTTTCATAATATGTTTAGCTGTTTTCATGACATTTTGATTCATTAATTATTTTAAAAGGTACTTGTACTTAGTATCAATTTATATATCCATCTGGGCATTGATGAAGTGACATCCACCAAGTACAAGACTTGAAAATTAAAATTTATAAAATATAAAATAAAAAAATGCTTAAATTAAATTACTCTTTAGGCTAATGTCAAGAAATCATGCTTTCATATTAAGAAAAACTGGTCTTATGGAGAAGACTGATAGAGATAATTATACATTTCTATTTATGGAGAATGCAGAGATTTCCTGAATTTTTCTGACCTTCCATCTAGTAATAATTAGACTATTGAATTATGTGTATAATTTCTTTTACTTGAGCCATGTTGTGATTAATTTGAAAAAGGAAACATTATATAATTGTAGATTTTGAAATATATCTAGTGTAAAGAGATATGGTATATATCTCATCTTTGTTTCTTCTAAATGGGGGAGATTGTCTTAAAATTTTAATAGAATTAACTTTTTTTTCCCTAAAAAGCACCGCGGGTGCAGCCCACTAATTTTGATCTGAACACCAGCTTATACATAATGTACTGACATGCAACAGCAGGGAATAACACTGAACTTTAAGAATGAGTAGAATTATTCTTACTGATCATTTAAAAGGAAGTTCTTTGCAACGACAACCTATATGCAAGCCAAATAACCCAACTGAAATATCATAATTTAAGTTTGATTATTCTGAGAAAGCCTTTCCCTGTTTCTGACTCAATTTTAGTTCATTATTTTGAATGTGGCACTAGAGTACGAAAGAAGAACCAACCTGTATTAAAGAACTGCCTTATTCATAAAAATGGTGTCTTTCTTCTGACCTCTAGTCCAGGCAGGACATGCATTTGCTATTTTTGAAGTTGTTCTGCTGTACTCAAGAACACTCTTTATCTTTGCCATCTTTGTCTAAATGACTGGGAGCCTTTATTCCAGCAAGATAATAAAAAAGGCACCATTATTCCTTCTGGAATTCAAGGCAGAAGAGACCACTTGGGAATACACGATCCCTAGATTAAAATACATACAGTGTAAATATGTCAAAGATATTTTGCTTTGCTTTGCTTTTCGTATCTTTTTTTCATTGGAAGTCATAGTTTAAACCGCAAACATAAACACACTGTCAAGCCCTCCAGACTAGACATACACAGGGTGGTGGTGGTGAGGACTGAACACAGGGCATTCGCCAGACCTGGAGAAACCAGGAAAACACAGGCCGATAAAAAACGGGCACCACAAAAACCCTTCCAGGCAGGGGATATGGTGTATTTGACCACCAAGTACTAAAAACTGCACCTGCCATGTAGGAAACTGGGGCTGAAATATGTAGGGCCATTTAGAGTGCAAGAGGTCATCAATCCAATTACCGTACATTTGCAACTTCTCCACAGTCTCAGCAAAGTACACCCGGTTTTTCATAGTAGCCTGTTGAAGCCGGCGGTAGGGTCATCATTCAGATGCATAAAACCACCACCGGGTCCCATTGGGGGGGATCAATACGAAATCAGGAAAATACTCGATTCCCACATTCACCACGGTCATGTACAGTATTTGGTGAGGTGGAAGGGGTACCCGATATCAGAGGCCTCTTGGGTAGGGGAAGCGGATGTCACAGCTCCTCGGCTATTGTGATGGTACCACAGCAAATATCCTCACAAGCCAGAGGGTACTTTACTAGTGTCAGCCTCCAAGGCACGTGTCTAATTTCATGTCTTTCCATGCTTTCCAGGAGGAAACCTGGTAGAGGGTCCACCTTTCAAGCCCTCCAGGCTCGACATACACAGGGGGGGGGAAGGCGAGGATGGAACGCAGGGCAAAGACCGTTGGCAGCACTCCACCCATCTCCAGCTAGCCAAAGCCTTCGGCCACCAATCAGCTGGTGTGTGGCCACACGCCAGTTGTTCCCGGCAGCATTTCCTGCCTGCCGAACAGCTGATGGGCTGACGGGCTACCGGGCCACACGTCAGCTGTCCCTGGTGGCGTTTCCTGGCCTGCCGAGCAGCTGACGGGTTGCCGGTCCCCTGGGCAGTTGGGGAACCGATTGTGGAGTGTTCCAGCCTGCTGAGGACCTGCGAACTGCCAGAAAGCAGATAGCTGTGGACTTACTAGAACAGCTGCCTCAGCAGCAGAGAGGACGTTTGAAGCTGGCTGGGATGAGGAAAGCTGAGAGCCAGCTACCAATGGCTGGGACGAAAGGGCTGGTGGGCATGGCTGACGGTCATTTGAGGCCTCACGGCCGAATGCTGTGTAGATGGTGGGGGCTGGGGTTTAATGTGTGTGCTGTAAATACAGCACTGGGAGGCATGGACTTTGAAAGCACTGTTTGTTTGACCTGCATGCCGAAGATTCCTCTTAGTAAAACGACACCACCTGTGAACTGATTGACTCTGAGTCTTTATTGCCAGATGTGAGTTAGGATCTTGGACACACACACACACACACACACACACACACACAAAACCTAAAGAATGAAAGGTAGGGGGAAGTTGGGAACACTTTTGAATAACCTCTAATCCTACCTGAGGGATAGTTTGATGTTTAAGATTACACACTAGGCTAGAAACCAGGAGACTGGGAATTCTAGTATTGCCTTACGTACAAAGTCAGCCTGGTGACTTTGAGCCAGTCACTTTCTTAGCCTTGGGAAGAAAGAAATGGTAAATGCTGCATTGGGAAGAAAGAAATGGTAAATGATGCATATCTCCACCAGGCCTCCATTTGCAGAGAACAGAGGCCTAAAGTACTGTAAGAACAGAGGCCTAAAGTACTGTAAGATCAGAAGCATGAGATCTCGCACCACTGATCTTGTGTGATCTTGCAGTACTTTAAACCTCCATTCTCTGCGAATGTACAAAAGGAAGCCGTAAAACTGTCAAGAAAGGGATCTCTTGATCTTTGCAAGGTGAGTATCCATAGGCGTAGTGCCTTGGGAGACCCAGGGCGGGGAAGGGAGGGAATAGTCAGGGTGAATTTTGCAGCATCACAATGGTCATTCGTAAAGGTGAACGACTGCCATGGTTTGGCAACATTTGTAATTTCAAGACTAGGGGCGCTTATCATGTAACTTTAAACATTCACTAAGGGAATGTTCATAACTCAGGGATTACCAGTATAAAACAGATAAATATATGTGGATATTTTTTCAAGATCAAACAATGGGATTACATTTTCCCAACAATTTCACCAGGGCACATTTGATGTCTTTGTTGTTCAGGCTATATATGATCAGATTTAAAAAGGGAGTAAAAATATTGAATGGAAATCACTTTGTCCAGATTAATGAGCAATTCTGAATTTGGCTTCATATATTAAAACAAATGTAATGTAATGTAGATCTAATGTAATGTAATGTAAAATAAGCCCATCACAATGTGATATTGTGGAATTTTAATGGTGTAAATCTCCTGGAGTCACTATGTATGAGTTGAGTTGCCATAGAAATATGTTAAACAAAAATAAATAAATAAATAAATAAATAAATAAATAAATAAATAAATAAATAAATAAATAAATAAATAAATAAATAAATGAATGAATGAATGAATGAATGAATGAATGAATAAATAAATAAATAAATAAATAAATAGCAGAAAGGGGGGATGGGCAAAGCATTCTCATTCAGAGTGACCAGATTCTTCAAAAATATTATTGTCTTTTCAATGAGTAACAACACCACAGGAAGAACAGAGATGATGAGACCCCCTCACTTTAGTCTATTTATCTTTTTGAACCAGTTTGAGCCAGTTGGGGACCAGTTGAAGATATCTTCTGGGAATTTAATAAAACAATACTATTACTTTTTTTTAAAGTTCCTTTTATATACACCTCACATTTAATCTGTCACATCATTATGCATAATAATAGCATAATATTAAATAATGATCTTTATCTATGTTAGTGTATCACCTGCCATTATTGCAAATTTTGAAGCAGATTATTTTGTTCCATAGTTCAGCTGAGCTCTATAATGACCCCAACAGCCCACAGAACATTTCAGTCTTGAAATGTCTTGATTTGGAAAAGAAAAATTGCAAATCCTTGTGGTATTGATAGGTTACACATGCTTTGTCCAATTAAAAATAAATCAGATCTGATACTTAAGTGATCTAGAAGGATCTGCTTTTTAAAAAGGTAGTAAAATAGCTTTGAGTTTATCCTGAGCCTATTGATTGTGAACTTCTGACCATGTTTTTTTTCTTCTTAAAAATATACTTTGTATTTACATGGACTTTCTGTGTGTGAGTGTGTGTTGACTTCTGATGACTGCCTAGACCATGGGTCGGCAACCCGCAGCTCCGGAGCCGCATGCGGCTCTTTGAGCCATCTCCTGCGGCTCCAGAGCCTCCTCTGCCATTTGCAGACAGAGACATAGAGAGGCTCTTGTGCTTCCCCTCTCTGTCTCTCTCTCTCATGCGGACTTGCCCCCTCGCAGGGCTCCTGTTTGGCCCTGCTGGGAGAAGGGTGGCCAGGAAGTCCCTTTCCTGGGCTGGCCCCATTCGAGGCTCATGTGACTGGGGAGCTGCACGGGGAAGCTCTGGGATCCCCGCTGGGAGCTGCCTGACGGAGCCTCCGCTAAGTGGGCCAGCCCTCCTGCAAGCCGCAGCCCCAAGGGAGAGCAGCCCCTGCAATGCCCAGACAGCGTGACCATTGGCCAACCAGCAGCAGAGATGGAGATGGACGGTCAGTGGCGGGGGGGAGGGAGGGGGATCTGAGTCCGCAGAGCACCACCGTGAAGCGACCGCAGGGCACGTGGTACGCCCCCCAGCTTACCTGTACTAGGCGGCAGTCCCGGTGGGGGCATCGCTTCCTGGGCCATCCCGGGCCGCTGAGCCGGCCACGTGTTTCCCTGGGCCGGGCAGCAGTCTTGGCTTGGGCAGCAGAGGCATCGCTTTGCGGGCCACCGAGCCAGCCATGTGTTTCCCCGGGCAAGGCGGCAATGTCAGCTGGGGCAGTGGGGACATCGCTTCGCGGGCCACCAAGCCATCCATGTGTTTTCCCGGGCCGGGCGGCAGTCTTGGCTTGGGGGGCAGAGGCATCGCTTCATGGGCCGCCGAGCCGGCCATGTGTTTCCCCGGGCTGGACGGCAATGTCGGCTGGGGCGGTGGGGGCATTGCTTCCAGGGCCACTGAGCCAGCCATGTGTTTCCCTGGGCCGAGCAGCAGTCTCGGCTCAGGCGGCAGAGGCATCGCTTTGCGGGCCGCCGAGCTAGCCATGTGTTTCCCCGGGCCGAGCGCCAGTGTCGGCTGGGGTGGAGGGCAGCCGAGCTGGCCACGCATCTCCCTGGGCCGGTCCATGGTGCCCCCGGTGTCTTCTGCTTCCTCCTCCCCCCCATACTTGCCTTCCTGGGACCTCTACCCATTTTCCCATGCCCAGAGCAAGAGAGGAAGCACTGCTTTCTGGGCATCGGAAGGGGCTTCCCCCTCCCAGCTCCCTGTCCACTGGGGCGTGGACTGGGATTGGGGCTGTGCAAATCGCAGCGCGCCTCCTTTCCTGCCACCCAGCCTGGCCCGGCTCACCCTCCTGCAGGATTTGGCCCTGGAAAGGCCGGGACAGCCGGCCGGCCAGGGAGGCTGAGCAGCTCCGGTGAGGGAGCTGCTCCCGCCCCATGGCTGGCTGGCCAGGAAACCCATCCGGCACGGGGAGCTCAGGGGCCGCCTGACCGCCGTGGGGGTGTGCACGACAGCTGCCTCCTGGTGGGCCCACTAATTGTGGGCTCCCGGCCAGCTTTCTCCGTGAGTCAGGCGCCCAGGACTCCATGGGGCCACCCCTAATTGTGCCCCGCAAGGGCCCGACCAAGACCCGGGCTGACCTCCGAAACGCCACTTGCCCAAATTCTTTCTGCCTCCTGGGGGAAGTTGCGCCTCATGGCCCAATTATTGTGGGCATCATTGTTGTGCCTCTAATCACCAAATGCCTTTGAAATGTGGGCCAGGAGAAATCTCATCCATCCTGCTGCCGAACTGAGTTGGGACCGAGGGAAAGGAGGAGAAAAAAGGAAAGCAGGCAGCACTTTGCTAGAATGGAGGGGTTGGAGGCTTTGGAGCAGGATCGTCGATGGGGGGAAAGAGAGGCTCTGCTTTTCAGGGGCGCTGCCTTGCAAGCAGCCCAAATCTCGGCCCCACGTTCAGCCGCCCCACGTGCGAAGGCTGCCACGTTGGCTGCATTCACACATGCGGTGCTTGTCTAGTTTTCTGTCATGGGGCGAACTCAGTTGCGTCGGCCTCCTGGATGCCAGCACCGGGAAGCTGGGCTCAATTCCCCTGGAGCTATTGTGGGGCGCAGCCAAGAGCGAGCCCCACAGCCACCTCACCTGTCCCGCCAGCAGCGCCCCCACCAAGACTTCGCCACGAAGCTCCCCCCTTTGCCCCACCTGAGGTCCCCCAAGCAGCGTCCAACCAAACAGCTAACAGAAGCACACAAGGCAGCCTCATTTTAATATAAAAAGTGTCTATTAAAAATTCCTTCCTAAATACACAAAAAGACCAATTGGGATGCGGGAGAGGGAGCAGTAAAAGAAAAAAAAGAGTGGTGGTGGGGGGACTCGGGGGCTGGACGAAGACGATTTTTTGGGCCAGGGAGAGGAATCAAGCAAGCAGCAGAGGCTTAGATGGTGCCAATCCGGAGGATTTGAGTGTGTTCCTCTCCAAGCAACTACCAAGGCTGGTATATTTGCATAAATGGACAACACAGGATGGGGTGGGGTTTTTTCCCTTTTTTTTTTCTTTTCTGCACGACCCTCAAAGCTGCACAGAAGTTTCCAAAACAGGAAAAGGAGGGAATAGAGAGGACACAAGGTGGGCGGGGGGAGTGGGGAGTCGCACACATGCATACATGTGCACACACACACCCTGAGGTCAGCACTGGCGTAAAGGAGCGCCTGTGGAGGAGAGAATACTGTACTTATTTGGGCTTACAGGTGGCCAGTGAGAACTCAAAAAACTTCGCTCCCTTTCCCCCTCTCTCTCTCCCCTTCTTCAGCGAAAGGGTGTATTAGCTTGTCTATTTTTTCCCTAGTTTTTTTTTTAATACAAACTAGGGTCTTTGGGTGTGTCCTGCCAAAAAAAAACCCAAACAAAACCAAAACAATTTTTTAAACTCCCCCAAACAATAGAAAAACAACTGAAAACCTCAATAAAACCCATGCTGAAATTTGCACATCACAAAACCACAACAGATGTACAAATGCAATAATATACAATTCATGATGTATAATAAAACATTATATACAATAAATAGGTTCTTGTTACTTTTTTGTCAATCTGCAAATAGATTTCTCAGTGCATATCTGACACAATTAGCTTCTCTCCTGCTTTGACTCTCTGGTCTTCAAAACATTTCAGATTTTGAATGTGTGTGTGTGTGTGTGTGTGTGTGTGTGAGAGAGAGAGAGAGAGAGAGTATACATCTTGGTGTTTGCTCTTTTGTAATTTTTCTTTTTTTCTTTTTACATTTTTGAAAAGTATTTACAATTGCTGGTTTTGTGCAGATAGAAAAGCCCCGTTTCCCTCAGCCCTCCCTCCCTCCTTGCTTCCAATGGAGAAGACTTGCGAGCTTCTCCAGGTCAGATCCATCCAGCACTAAGGGGGCAGAGAGGGACAGTAACAGAGGAGCTCGGCGGGTTGATCGGGGGTTGCTCAGGGGTTTTGCGGCTCCCAGTGTTTTGTTTTCGGTGGGAAACGGGTCCAAGTGGCTCTTTGAGTGTTTTGGCTTGCCTACCCCTGGCCTAGACAAACCCCTGCAGGATTTTTGGCCAGATTTTGAGAGTAGTTTGCCATTGTTCTCAGAGGTTCATAGGGAGCCTCACAGAGAAGGATGTAGTTTGTGCATCTTCTTAGTGCCCTGAAAGCTACCCTGCCTTTAATGTTGAATTTTAATTATCCTTCAGTCTGTTATATTTTTATATTCCGTTTTTATGTTCTCAATATTTTATTTGTACACTGCTCATAGTTCTTCTGAGAAGGACATAGGCAATTTCTAAATTTGAAAAAAATAATTTCCTCCTTCCTAGGATGACTGTCTTTGTGGAACTAGAACACAAAAGTCTCCCAGTTATTAGCCCAGTACCTTAACTATGGCACCAAACTGACTTTCCTTATTCCCTAATAATTATGTGCAGAAAGTCCTATCTATGATATCCCAAGACATGTTTTGATCTCCCAAATCATCTCAAAGTTGTTGTTCATTATTTTTGAAGGGATGTTAATTTTACACCCACATATCAAATGGCCAAATACCTTCACCAATTATACAAATATGCAAAAGTTTGATTAGATATGTCTGTTATGGTTCCGCTGCAAATACTGTATATTCTTGCTTTGACAATGTCATTTTATTGTCCTATAACTTTTTCTCAATACTAAATTGTTATATGAAATTATTTCTCTAAAGATGGTCAAAAACCAAAATAAAAGTATTTGATCTCAAAAATTGTAAACAACTTTCTTAACAGAATTGAGCTATTTCAAATGAACAAGATTCCAATAGTTTAATTATCATTTAATGAAGTAACAACCAACCTTATTTTGACAATATATAGTTTGATTATTTCATATATTTGCACCTCCCCATTCTTTAAATTGTATCCTAAGATCAGATCCTGGTACCTAATTAAAGATCAGTATAATGAAGAATTTTACATACTGCTTTCCTACTTTCTGTATAACCCAGTAGATTATAATAATTTATTTTGTTCCAGTCTCGCAAATATTCTGATATATAGCAGTAACTAAACTCTAAGAATGATTCAGTTTCCAAAGCTATTTTTTTCAGGATTCAATTTGTTGACAGTTGACTTTGGGACAATACATTGGATCATTTATTTCTTTTTAATCTTGCAGCTCAGTTGTCGTACAACTAAATCAAAATATGTTTAGAAATAAATATTTTGTAGTGAGTAATCAATTTAAACTATATGCTATAATTGAAAAGAGAGAGAAAGGGTGAGAGAGGGAAAGAGAAATACAGTAGGAGAGGAAAGAAATTACAAAATTAAATCTCATAGATACTTTCATTGTCATTTTTTTTTTTTTAAAAAAAAAACCCTGCTTAGATAGATATTAGAGCAAGACACAAGGTGTTGGGAATTTGGGGGAAGGAGCATTTCATTAACTGTAGGTATTGTTTTGTGGTTAAAGACTGGGCCTATGCTTTCTAAATAGTTTCTCTGCACCAGATAAGATCTCTTTGCTTTTCAGGCTATATATGATGGGATTTAACATAGGAGTTAAAACGCTATACTGAATAGACAATATGTTGTCCAGATCCATGAGGGATTTTGGACTTGGCTTCATGTAACAAATGATACCTGAAAAGTAACACAAGCACACCACAATGAGATGGGAACTGCATGTAGAGAAAGCTTTTTGCCTGCTTTCTGCTGAATTAATTTTTAAGATGGTAGAAATAATATAAATGTAAGAGATCAGAGTGATAAGAAATGAACTAAGACTAACTGCTAACACAGATATAAGAAGAATGATGTAATTAGTGAGAGTATCTGTACAAGACAAGGTCAAGAGGGAAGGAATCTCACAAGTATAGTGTCTGATTATATTGTTGTTGCAAAAATGGAGATTTAGCAATGGTAGCACATTCACTATAGAAAAAAAGAATCCCAGGAGCCAAGCTGTACCCACCATTTTATTACATATCTCTCTTGTCAAGTATCTGCTGTACTGCAGGGGGTCACATATAGCCACATATCGGTCATAACCCATTGCTGAGAGAATAAAACTTTCTGTACAAGCTATTTGCAAAAGGAAGAAGATCTGTGAAATACATCCTTCCCGGGATATGGTTTTCTGCTTCGTTATGAAGTTTGCCAACATCTTGGGGACAGTGACTGAGATATAGCAGATGTCAACAAAAGCTAAATATCTGAGTAAGAGGAACATGGGCATCTGAAGGTGATGCTCAGAACTGATCACTAATATAACAGCTATATTTCCTAGGATGGTGACCAAAAAAATTATCATAAACACAAACAGGAGACAATCGTGTATCTGTGGATTATTGGACAGTCCCAAGAGGATAAACTCTGTTATTCCAGTTTGATTTCCCAGCCCAGAGGATTCAGAAAACATAGAATCTGTCAAAAATATAAAACACAGTTAATTATGTAGTAAATCAAACAAACACAGACTTCAGTTAAAGATACAAGTTAATTTAAGGATTACAGTTTACTGTACATCCATATTGAGAATTGTATTATAATGTGTGTTCTGATTTTCATATGTTTCACACAATGTAATTGTTAATTACTGCCTTTCTCATTTTGACAATGCATTTTGTTGGTTGCTATAATGTTTCAGTTCATTAATATAGTAACCAGTATTTACTGGGAATATTATTTGTATCCTCATTTATGCATTTGTTAAATGAGTTAAACTTATAGATCATGTCTAAAGAAACTTATCTTAAGGAAAATGTTGAAATATATTATCTGTGACATTCCTCAGAATGTCAAAATAGAGAGATTTCAGAAAGTTGACGCACAAGGAATTAAAGTTTGGGCAATCCGTTCTGTTTCGTTTAGCTATACTACTCTTCATTTTTCAGTTCTCTGTTTTATTATTTTTGAAGTGTTAGAATTTTATAGATGATTTTTATGTATTTTGTATTTTTTTCCTTTTTGAAATAACAAAGAATTGATTTATTACTTCCTTTTTCAAGAATACTTTTTTATTATATTTAACTTCCAAGTTCTTGGGTTTGTTCCCCTCTCCCCAAGTGCTAATACGATGTGGTATGTGATTCTGAGAGTAGCCAAGTAAGACTATATAGTGGCATAAGCTGTAATAAATTGAAGAAATAAAAATTTCAAGTACCTTTTAAAGTTTCAATGTTTTTTTTTAAAAAAAACTGAATGGACGTCCTTCATAAAAGATTAAAAGATTTTCAACAGACTACCAATGTTCATTCTTCTCTGTATGTACCTGTTATCAAATTAAACAAAAGGAGAAGGAAAAGGAAAAGGATTAGATTTGATTGAATGATTATTTAAAGAAAGGCTTTCCATCAGTTTCTTCATTATTCTTATCACTAATTCTGCAAAAAGCCTTTGTGAAAAGATAATAAAACAAACGTACAAAATTACTTTGTCAATCAGATTGCTTTTTTTCTTATAAAAAAAGGAGAAGTTTTAAACGGGCAGCATTGTACTTTAGTCTTTTCAAATTTCATGCTAAGAGTGTGTGATTCAACTTTGGTACAAGATAATAGAGCCGATCCTTCATTCCTTCTGGAATTCATAGAGGCAATTAATACTATCTGGGAATACATATTCACCAACCAACCATACATATTGTTAAATAAATAAAAATAATAATATTTTGCTTCCCCCCTTTTCTCAATTACCATAATAACATCTAAAGTGTCTTTAATTTGTTTTTCATGTTGTGAGAGAAGCCAACCCCATATCAAGAGGGGCTTTAATAGGATCTACATGGTGAAAAATAATATAATGTATTGTCTAATGTGGTAAATCAAAAGGGTTTTTCCTCTGCTCATTGTAAAGGCAATAATTATTAATACATCGAAAAACTGCTTTAATGCCATTATTTATTTATTTATTTATTTGCTGTGCATCTTGCAGTTTGAGGCAATTTCAGATGGTTATGTGTATTTGTGCTTGTGTGTATTTGAGCATTTTTTTATTTATAAGATTTATATGGTTGCCCATATTAAATAACAATGTGCAACTCAAGCAACAGTAAAAACTATAAGTATAAAACAATAATAAAACAATAACAACAAACAGTTCAATGATCAAAGAAAAAGAAAAATCATCACCTCACCTTAATCATCCACATGGGATGCCATGCAGCAAACTCCAGTTAATTAGATGGATTACAACCCAGAGTTTTGAAATAGTGGGCAAATCGGAGTTCAAATGCTCCAGGTAATTGGCTTCATCCAGGGCACTGGATGAAGCTGGGTGACAAACACACTTTCAACAACCTTCCCCCAAAAATGAAGGTTAGAGATGGGGAAAAGTTGTATAGTGTGATTGGGTACAAGGATAACCTTTTAAGAATAAATTGCACCATTTCCTCCTTCAAAGCAGACAGTATCATATCCCGCAAGGAGACATTAATAACCACTTGGTCCCACCCACCTCCAAGGGGGTCTTAATGAACCAGGAGGGCCAGGACTCCAGAACACAGTTGGCCAGGCTCATAGTCATGAGAACACTGTCCATATCCTCAGGGTCCAATTTATCCCAGATAATAGGGTTCATTTCACACTTAAACTATTACATCATCATGTGTAATAATGGTAGAATATTAAACAAAATTATATTTTGTCGCATAGTTCAGCTAAACTCTAGACCTGGTCCAAGCAGTCCATGGAATATTTCAATCTTGAAATGTCTTGATTTTGAAAAGATTTGCAAATCCAATTTATAATTCACACATCTGTGTTATGTTTACAGACCTTTTGGCAGACTAAAACAACTCAAATTAGTGGCATATATTTTACTTTATGCTAAACATGTTATGGTGAAATCCAACTATGTATTTTTTTTTCAGAAAAAATGCCCTGTGTTTAAGTGAACTTATTTTTTTAAAATATTTATGCTAAAAATCCAATTCTTTAAATTATTTTTAATTAGATGGTAAAATAAATGGACAAAAAGCTTCAGTCTCCAAGAAGCTCTGCTGCATGATTGTTGAATACATTTAAGTATTTATTTATTTTAATTGTGTAACTCAATTGTTATATAACTAAATCAAAATATGCTTGGAAATAAATATTTTGGACTGAATAATAAATTTAAATTACATGCTATAATGGAAAAGAGAGAGAAAGGATGAGAAAGAGAAAAAGAGACATAATAGGAAAGGGAACAAATTACATCCTTAAATCTCATAGACATTTTCATTTTTATTTATTTTTTTAAAAAAACTGCTCAGATGGATATTAGACACCAAGCTGGCAGGAATAGCCAACACTCCAGAAGACAGGCTTAGGATACAGAAGGATCTGAACAGACTTGAACATTGGGCGCTATCTAAAAAAATGAAATTCAATGGTGAAAAAAGTAAGGTTCTACATTTAGGCAAGAAAAACCAAATGTACAGGTATAGTATAGGGGGTACCTTGCTCAATAGTAGTAACTGTGAGAGGGACCTCAGAGTCCTAGTGGACAATCACTTAAATATGAGCCAGCAGTGTGCTGCAGCTGCCAAAAAGGCCAACACAGTGCTGGGCTGCATTAACAGAGGGATAGAATCAAGATCACGTGAAGTATTAATACCACTTTACAATGCTTTGGTAAGGCCACACTTGGAATACTGCATCCAGTTTTGGTCACCAAGATGTAAAAATGATGTTGAGACTCTAGAAAGAGTACAGAGAAGAGCAACAAAAATGATTAGGGGAGTGGAGTCTAAAGCATATAAGGAAAGGCTGCTGGAATTGGGTATGTCTAGTTTAATGAAGAGAAGGATGAGGGGAGACATGATAGCAGTGTTCCAATACTCAGGAACTGCCACAAAGAAGAGGGAGTCAAGCTATTTTCCAAGGCGTCTGAAGGCAGGACAAGAAGCAATGGATGGAAACTAATCAAGGAGAGAAGCAACCTAAAACTGAGGAGAAACTTTCTGACAGTTAGAACAATTAACCAGTGGAACAACCTGCCTCTAGAAGCGGTGAATGCTCCAACACTGGAAGTTTTTAAGAAGAGACTGGACAGCCATTTGTCTGAAATGGTATAGGGTTTCCTGCCTGAGCAGCAGCAGCAGCAGCATCATCATCATCATCATCATCATCATTATTATTATTATTATTATTATTATTATTATTATTATTATTATTATTATTATTATTATTATTATTATTATATCAATTAAAGATACTTATTAATTTAAGGATTACAGTTTACTCTAGATCCAATTAAGAATTGTATTATAATATATGACATTGCTGTTCTGTTTTTCATATGTTTCACCAATGTAATTCCTTTCTTATTTTAACAATGCATTTTGTTTTTGTCTGCCACTCAAAAATGCTAATTACATATGGTATGTGATGCTGAGTAATGTCAAGTAAGTCTAAATAGTGGTGTAAGCTGTGATGAATTAAAGAAATAAAAATTTCATATATCTTTGAATTTTTTTAAAAAAAAACAAACCTAAATGGGTTTCCTTTGTAAAGGCAACTTTGATAGGATTAAAAAGTTTTCAGCAGACTCCCAATGTTATGTCCTATTTTTTATTTTTTTTCAGTATGTACATAATATGGAATTCAGCAAAAGGTAAGAGGAGGAAGAGGAGGAAGAGGAGGAGAAGGAGGAAAAGAAAAGAAAAGAAAAAAGAAATCTTGATTATTGATAATGAAGATAAAATAATACACTTTGCCAGAAATTGTCTATTTATAAGAGTCACAATAACTCAATCCAAGGATTCCTACTCTGCACAGATTTGATAGAACAATTATTTTAAGCAGGGCTTTTTTTTCTGATAGAATGCCCAGAACAGAGTTCTGGCACCTTTTTTGGATGGAACCTTGTAGGGTAGGCAAAGCAAGTTGTATAACGTGTTCTGGCACCTTTTTTTTTTTTTTTTTTTTTTTTTTTACAAAAAAAGCACTGATTTTAAGAAAGGCTTTCCATTAGTTTCATCATCATTCTTATCACTAATTCTTCAAAAAAGACTTTGTGCAAAACATGAAAAGATAACAAAGTAGACATATAAAACTATTTTGTTTATCAAATTGCTTTCTTTCTTGTAAACAGAGATGAGTTTTAAACAAGCAGTTACCTTGAAGGAAGCAGTTGCCTTCTGGCTCACTAATGCTTTGCATTGTCTTTTCAATCTTCTTGCTTAGAGAATGTAATTCCACTTTGGTACAAGTTAACAGAGAAGTAAGCTGATCCTTCATTCCTTTTGGAATTCATTGGTACAGTTACTACTATCTGGGAATACATATTCCTCAATCAACTATATATATTGTTAAATAAGTGAAAACTATCTTTTGCCCCTCCCCTCTTTCTCAATTGCTATAATCACATCATATATATCTTTAAATTGTTTTTCATGTTCTGAGACAAGACATCCCCATATCAAGAGTGGCTGGTATGAGAAAAAAATAATACAGCAAATCAAAAGGGCTTTTCTTCTACTCATTGTAGAGGCTGTACTTATTAATATATAGAAAAACTGCTTGAATGCCTATTTTATTTATAATCTGTCTGTCTGTCTGTCTGTCTGTCTGTCTGTCTGTCTGTCTGTCTGTCTGTCTGTCTGTCTGTCTGTCTGTCTGTCTGTCTGTCTGTCTATCTATCTATCTATCTATCTATCTATCTATCTATCTATCTATCTAAATTACATTTATATGCTGCCCATCTTGAAGTTCAAGACAAATTTAGCTGGCAATGTGTATTTGTGTGTATGTGTTTGTTTGTGTATTTTATTTATTTAAAAGATGTATATGGCTCCCATCTTAAACAACAGTGTGCAACTCAAAACAACAGTAAAGCCTGTAACTGTCCCATAGTTATTTCCTGCTGTTCTTCTTGTCCCTTCTACCAAAGACAAATCAATTTTGCCCCTAATTTTAGTACAAATAGTCCTAGAGCTACGAACAAAATTGAGCCCAAAATTTCTGTTGCTAAGCACAACAGTTGTTACATGAGTTTTGCCCCATTTTATTACCTTTCTTGCCACATTTATTAAGTAAACCACTGCAGTTGTTAATGGCTTCCCCACTAATTTTGCTTGTCAAAAAGTTGCAAAAAGTAATTGCATGACCTCAGGACACTGCAACCGTCATAAATATGAGCCAGTTGCCAAGGATTCTGAATTTTAGTCACATGGCTATGGAGATGCTGCAATAGTTGTATGTAAAAATGGTCATAAGTCACTTTTTTCAATGCCATTGTAACTTTAAACCAGGGGTGTCAAACTCGCAATGTCATGTGACATGTTGTGACATATCATGACTTTTTTCATTGCCAGTAATTGGGTGGGCATGGTTTCAGCATGACACATCTGGCCCATGGACCAGCAGTTTGACACCCCTGCTTTAAACAGTCACTAAACAAATGGTTCTAAGTCGAGGACTATCTATAATGGAGGAGTTGGCCAAAGTACTTGACTATTTATTTATTTATTTATTTATTTATTTATTTATTTATTCATTCATTCATTCATTCATTCATTTATTTATTTATTTATTTATTCATTTATTTATTTCACCTAGTATCTGGTTGAGTTATCTGCAAAAGATATGTAGGACATATGCTTTTTGTTATCACAGTATTATGGAAAATATGGTGGTATGTTTTATGGATCCATTTCATTTAATTGCTTAAATGTAAGCAATAATAATAATAATAATAATAATAATAATAATAATAATAATAATAATAATAAAGTTGGAAGGGACATTGGAAGTCATCTAGTCCAACCCCCTGCTCAGGCAGGAAACCCTATACCATTTCAGACAAATGGCTGTCCAGTCTCTTCTTAAAAACTTCCAATGTTGGAGCATTCACCACTTCTGGAGGCAGGTTGTTCCACTGGTTAATTGTTTTAACTGTCAGGAAGTTTCTCCTTAGTTCTAGATTGCTTCTCTCCTTGATTAGTTTCCATCCGTTGCTTCTTGTCCTGCCTTCAGGCGCCATGGAAAATAGCTTGACTCCCTCTTCTTTGTGGCAGCCCCTGAGATATTGGAACACTGCTATCATGTCCCTCCTCATCCTTCTCTTCATTAAACTAGACATATTCAATAATTAGTGTATTAGAGATGTATACAATGTCTAATTTGATTAGATTGCAAAAATAAAATACCAAAATAAATACAAATCATCTTTAAAATTCTAATACCTTTCAAAAATAATAACATTAACAAAACAAAACAATAAAATAAATAAATACTTTTGTCTCTTGAGTTGAGATAAGCCAAGAGAAGAAGCCTCTCATACTTTAACTATTAATGAATCAAGTAAGCCATAATCAATCCGTCCAATGCTTAAAAAAAAATGTTTTTTTACATCTGTAGGTTTTTGTCCTACTACTTGTATCTTGAAATCAGATCTTGATTCCCAACTGTGGAAGAGTACAAAGATGAGACTTTATGTGCTACTTTCATAAAACCCAGTGGATCATAAAATTACTAAGGTTCAATTTTGTAAAGATTATCAGTCTGGATATAACTCCTCATTTCTAACCATAATTCATCCACCAAAAAGAATTTGCAGTTTAGTGTTTTGGGATACAATAATAAATACAACTTTTATTTATTATTAGAACATGGAAAGTTGGTCAGTAGTCCTTTATTTATCAACAAATAACAAAGAATATATCTTCAAAGTATTTATAATAAAATTAAGGTAATCCACAAAGCACATAAAATGCTTGCTAAACGTGACTGCTATCCATGTGAGCCTGAATATATGGAATTCGACTAGAACTACTGCCAATATAGCAGAAACAACTGAAAAATAACTGCATGGTGAATATATATAATGCAATTACTAGGAATGTTTTCAGTGACAGCCATGGGAAGCTATAAAACTGATGGGTTTTCTAATCAGCATGTAGCATTGTACTATTCTAAATTCTGATATGAAATAATAGAACCCAACTTTCCAGATAAATCTACTTATCATATTAGGGTGTAGAATATATTGGATCTTTTAACCCTGCCGCCTAATTCTTATACAATTACATAAAATGACTTTAGAAATGCATATTGGAATGTATTACATTACATGTTTCAAAGTTAAAAAGACAGTGAGACACAGAGATACATATTGTAAGAAGAAACAATTTTTTAAAAATATCATATTTTAATCCTCATATTTTAAATAAACTGTTTGGAAGGATATTAGAGTAAGACTACCTTGCTTACTTTGAATTATCTCAATGAGAAGTCCATATACTCTCATATCAGAGCATAATTTTACTATCAAAATTGAGGATTTGGTGGAAACAGCATATCACACCCTTGCTGTGTCATTAATTATTACCATTATTTCTCATTGGTGATGCTGGGCAGATTTTAAATCAGAAATTATGAACATTATTTCATGGGTAAAGAATGGGTCTCATCTTTCCAAATAGTTTCTCTAGACCAGATCTCATCTCTTTGTTTTTCAGGCTGTAGATGATGGGGTTTAACATAGGAGTTAAGATGCTATACTGAATAGAGATTATTTTATCCAAATCCATGAAGGATTCAGAACTTGGCTTCATATAGCGAATCAAACCTGAAATGTAAAATAAGCCCAGGACAATAAGATGGGAACTACATGTAGAAAAAGCTTTCTGCCTGCCTACTGATGATTTAATTTTCAGAATAGTTAAAATGATGTAAATATAAGAGACAAGTGTGATGAGAAATGAGCCAAAACCAAATACCATCACAGATATTAAAAGAACAATATAATTTGTGAAGGTATTTGCACACGACAATGCCAAGAGGGAAGGAAGCTCGCAAGTATAGTGTCTGATTATATTGTTGCCGCAAAAATGGAGATTTAGCAAAGGTACTACATTCAGTATAGCATAAAGTAATCCAAGAAGCCAAGCTCCACCCACCATTTTAATGCATATTTCTCTTGTCAAGTATCTGCTGTAATTCAGGGGATCACATATAGCAACATATCGATCATAGCCCATTGCTGAGAGAATGAAGACCTCTGCAGCAGCAATTTGGAAAAAGAAGGCAATCTGTGCAATGCATCCTTCCCAAGAAATGGTTTTCTGATTTGTAATAAAGTTTGCCAGCATCTTAGGAACAGTGACTGAAGAATAACAGATGTCAGCAAAAGCTAAATGGCTGAGAAAGAAGAACATGGGGGTTTGAAAGTGAAGCTCAGACCTGATCACTAATATAACACTTATATTTCCCAGGATAGTGAGTACAAATATGATCATAATCAAAAGAAGAAGAAAATCCTCTATGTGTGGATCATTTGAGAGTCCCAACAAAATAAACTCCATTATTGCAGTTTGGTTTTCTAGTTGAGATGATTTGAGAACCATAGGATCTGTTAGAAAAGGAACCAAAATCAAATTAATATTGAATGCTACATGGGAATTCATTATGCTGGGTTTCCTAATTTTTCTTTCTTTCATAAGAGGCCCAACTTAAGTGTTGCCTATTTTCTTGAAATTTTAATTCATTTATTATTTTAAAGTATACTAGTTCTTAGTATCATTTGCGTATTCAGCTGTGCTTTTATGAAGTAAGACATTTTCCTTGATTATAGCATTGAAATTCAAGTTTTTTGCACATGATAAAAAATTGTATTTGAATTACTTTTTTATTAGATAATATGTATTATGTCAAGAAAAATTCATTTTAAGGAAAAAAATTAATATACATTACTACAAATGTCTATTTGTTCAAAATGCAGAGATTTCAAGATAATCAAACATGAAATGTTAAACTTTTTTCTTTTGACAAAACTATTTCACTGTCCTGTCTTGCCTTTTTTGCTCTGGGTTTTTATGATTTCCCACTCTAGTAAGAATTTGGACTATTGAATCTTGCTTATCTATTTTTAAAAAAAACCTTAGCCAAGTGTATATAAATGGAGATATCTGCTGTGAAAAATTGAAAAAAGAAAACACTAATGGTTGAAAGTTAAAAAATATATATCTAAATTGATATAATATCTATATCATCTTTGCTGCTTATAAAATGAGGAGGATTGTGTGACAATTAACCATTTTTTAACAGAATATACTTATATGTAACTCAAAGTTTAAAAAATACTGAATGTTAAGATTGAGCAGAATTAATTTTACTAACCCCGTAAAACAGGTTGGGTTCAATCATGATCTATATGTAACAGCCAAATAACCCAACTGTAATATTGCAATTCAAATTAGGTTTGATTGAAAAATATTTTTTTTCCGCAGTCATCTGTTCTTAATTCTGTCAAGTATTGCAGTAAGCTGCGAAAGAAGACTTAACCTGTATTAGAGAACTGCCTATTCATAAAACTGCTTTCCTTTCTCTTAACCTATACTCCACATTAGACATGCATTTACCTTGCAGGAAATAGTTCTGTTACAGTAGAAAAACACTCTGTATCTTCGGCACCCTCATCTAAATGTGCAAGAGGCTTTCTTTGAGCAAGATAATTAAAAAGGGATAAGTTCATACTTCTATTTGTTCTGGAATTCAGGGCAGAGAAAACCAATTGGGAATGGATCATCCCTAGATAAAAATACATGAAAGTTAGACATATCAAAGATATTTTGCTTACTGTTCTTTTTTCTTTTTCTTTTTTCTTTTTTTATTTAAAACCATAGCTTAAATATATATTTGATTTGTTGTTATTGTTTTGAAATCCACACAACATAAATAATGGTATATGAAAGAAATGCATATTTCTGAATTAAACCAAATTATATTTAATCTCCACAAAAACAAAGATACAAAAAAGGATAAAAGCCACACCAAAATTTTGAATACTTTTGAATAACCCTATGTCCAATATGATAATCAGGGATGGGTTCATAATACTCATCCCTCTTACTGCTACTGGTGTAGTGGGTAAGGCACCAAATTAGAAACTGAGAAAACATGAGTTCTAGTTCTACCTTCAGCATGAAAACAGTTTGATGTCAGTCCTTCCAGCTAAAACAGATAAGAAACATGATTGGACAAGCTAATTCTACTTTATTATAAGGCTACATTAATATTTAATGTTAAGATGTTAGAAGTTTTAAGAGAATAACAGATTTGTAAGGGATCTTTGAGGTCTTTTAGTCCAATCCCCTGCTCAGGCAAGAAACCCTATACCAGGGGTGTCAAATTCATAACGTCACGTGATGGGTCATGATGTATCATGACTTTTTTGCCTTTGCCAGGAATGGGGTTGGCGCAGTTTCACTATAATGCATCTGGCTCATCAGCTGGCAGTTTGGCATCCCTGCCCTATACCATTTCAGACAAATGGCTGTCTATTCTCTTCTTTAAAACCTCCAGTGTTGGAGCATCCACAACTTCTGGAGGCAAGTAATTTCACTGATTAATTGTTCTGTCAGAAAATTTCTCCTTGGTTCTAGGTTGCTTCTCTCCTTGATTAGTTTGTATCATTGCTTCTTGTCCTGCCTTCAGGTGTTCTGGAGAATAGGTTGACTCTCTCTTCTTTGTGGCAACCCCTTTGTGGCAACCCCTAAGTTTGAAAGTACAAACTTCCCACCTGCCACTTTTTTTTATAAAAAGTTTTTTATTTATAATACAATTAAAACAAAAATGGACATATGTGACATTCCAGAGTAAATATTCCTAACAATTTGTTTCTCGTGATACAAAAACTTAATACATCATCCTTAACCTCTATATAAACCTCATTCTTCTACAAAATACAATTATATATACAATTACCGTATTTTTCGCACCATAAGACACACCTGACCATAAGACGCACATCGTTTTTAGAGGACAAAACAAAAGAAAAAAAATTTCTAACCGGCGGTGGCGCGGTCAGGTAGGCGGCGGCGGCGCGGTC